AAAGTGATGTGAAATCTACAAGAAATCTCGTGAATACAAAATTTATACTTATGTTAAACAAATAAGTCCAGATGTCGCCTCCCCCCCCTAAACACATGATAAGTCAATGCGGCCATCTACTTCCGGCTGGTCGAAATTGACCAGCCGGAAGTATGTCTGCTGCCAGATGTTACAAGTCTCTCTTCTCTTTCCTCCTCTCCCCCTCAGCGGTACGTCATGTAACGTACAATATAGTGGGTCTCCACAAAGAGAGACTTGGAGCAAGTCTAGGGCACAAGTAGAATTAGTAAGCAAACGTAGAGCATCGCATGTATTTCAAGAACTAAAATGTCAGTTTCGTCGCGATCTAATAGCGTTTTGGAGTATTTGTCTGAAACAGATTCTCCCGCATCTCATCTGTTTATATAAGACATATAACAGCGAATTCAAGCGAACTTGACAATGAATTTTTGCCATTTGATATTTTGATGATACTATTGCTGGAGCCGCTTGCCTTGCCTGAAGAGGTAGCCGAGTACGAGGTCGACGAAGCTGTGCAGAAGACGAACAGCTCGAAAATATGTTACAAAATCGTTTTGAAGCAATGCATGTTGATGTATCGTCTTGGTAAGTTTGTGTTCTTATTTGCCGGAGTAATAAATTAAAACGTATCTCTGAACTTCTATTTTGCATTTTTTTATAAGGTGTGAATGTGGTCATTGCTGTCAACCTGAAGCATGCCTACTATGCCGATGTTGTTATTAAACAAGCATTAACATATTGTGCGCGCCCATTTACTTAATATTATATATTTTATAGGTTCTTACGCGCAGTTTTCTACAGACAGTTCGTGGTTTGGTATGAGATTTTACGGGCAGTTCAAGGCATCTCACATTACCGTGTTGTTGTTACAATAAAATATGATCAACATTCCTGAACACTGATCAGCGAGCTTACACGGAGTTTGAAAAAAACAGCTCGATGGTTCATCCTCGTTTGTATCAGTCTTTGCAGTTTCGCCCAACTCGTTTAAAATTTAAACCTATTTTCAATAATATGAGAACAACACTTGTCGCGTGAATTTATAATTGATCTGGACTTATCAGATTATGTAAAGTTATGTATGTAGCTAAAATATATTCATATCTGACTTTACGCCTGTCTCTTGTTGTTAGTTGCGCAGGCGCTTTCCTCCAAATAGTAGGCACAGAATCTGGTTTATTCGTCTTTGCAAACCATCCAAATGAAATAAACGCTCAAAACAATCCTTCGAAAAATGGTCCAAACAAATCATGAATCGAATTTCCCGCGAGCTTAGATAAAAATTGGCGTGCTTAGTTTGCACAAATCTAACCGATATTCTTCTCAAAGATTCGTCATTTGGGCCCTTATGCAATGATCTACCCGCGTTTTTGTCAGAAGTATTGCTGCAATCTTGTACAGCACAACGCGACGAAGGCATGATCGAGTTTTACCGTGGTATTACTATAGTCGCGTATATATTTTTATGTTGCATGCCCAGCATGTGTTGAGACTATGACGTCAAAGACTCCCGAACACTTGAACTTTCCAATATGGCGGATTTTAATGGCGGCCGCCAAAATTCGAACTTCATCGTCGTATAACTCAGGCAAAATATAAGATATCACGCTAAAATTTTGCGTGACAGCTTCTTTATATGCATTCTTCACAATCATGGAAAAAAACCAGAAATGAAAATTTGGTCACAGTGGCACTTTAAGCCTAGTGATTTATTTCAATACATCAAAATTATCCCGTCATTCATCCCGCCCCGGCTACCTGGGATCATGTGAACAGCCCCTAATTCTTGCTTAGCAGCCTCGCCTTTTCCCGCTTATTAACAGGTAGCTAATTTGGGTATTTCATTCAAGTATTTGTGCAAATGTCCACATTCCACAAGAAGTCGAAAGAGCCGGCCCATGAGCCGGCCTCGGATCGGTTTTCGATCGCTCTAATTTAGATCGATTATACAAAGTGTGCAAAGTGTGAACGTACGGCCCCCGAGACGCGGTTTCTCGTGTGATCATGAACTAAATGCAATAGGTTTTTTATGTGACCGTCAACTATAGGCGTAATAGGTTTTTTCATGTGAATTATTAAACTATGATCAAACTTAAGTACAGTAAACTACGTAATTTGAATACATAACCCCCTTTCCTCTATGGCTAACGCTTACTGCGTTCAACTTCACATCACCCGTGAAGAAGACACAAAACTGGAAGACAAAAACGACATCTGATCCACTGTGTAAAATGTATTGACGTAGAATTAAAAGCATAAATATTTCAGCATAAAGCATCGAAATATTATTATTGGCTTCCGGATTATATCATACCTCAACATCCAAGTCTTCCGTCTTAGTTGATCAATTATACGAAAACAAGGTCAAAGAGTTGACATGTTCCACTAAACAAAACAGAAATGTAAATAATGGAGTTCCAGCGTTTTGGAGGCACTTGTAGTTTGTTAAAATGTGCTGATCTTAAATCCATTTTTAACCATGTGAAAAATCCGCTAAAAAACAAGGTTGTGCAAGTGGAATAAAGCACTTCAAAATTGTTAATTATATTAGTTGTTAGTTAGTCATTTAGTTAGATTGCAATGAACTACAAAAATGTAATCTTTTGGCTTAATATTTTACTAAATTTGAACTTTTGAAAATGGTAAAATAAAATTATCTAGTTAAAAATCGTAATTTAGTCGTTAAATTAGTAAATTACGATTATGTCAATTAGCTCAATAATTGATGTATAATAATTTAAAATATATTATCACCTTCTTTACTGTAAATATACATATATAGTATCTTCCACGTTGAATATATATAATTATAAATTTCCCTGCATGTTAATGTTTTATTTTATATTTGTTATATACTTTTATCCTTATTCAATATAATAATTCGAACTGACTATAGTATAGTCAGAAGACTGAATATGACTGAAGTATAGGCCATAGGGGCCCGAAACAAAAACAAGCAAAACGAATTGCATGAGCCTTTATGTAAATGTTTGTAAATTACATTCAATTCAATTTACATAACATATTGGGGACCGATAGTTGTCGGTAGGACTTCGGGACCGTTAGCAGGTGGGACGTGGGGACAGTTGGGAATTGGTCTTCATTAGTAGATGGGACTTGGGGACCATTATAGTAGGTGGGACTTGGTTACCATTAGTAGTAGGTGGGACTTGGTTACCATTAGCAGTAGGTGGCAATTGCAGGGGATCGTTAGTAGCAGACCTACCAACTAGTGTACCAAGTCGCCCACATTTGGCGGTCGAATTCTACATTTTGGAGTCATTAATCCAGTAATATATATGCTCTTGAGTATTCTCATGAGGATACTGGATTTTGATGTATACATATGAGGGTGCTCATGAGCATAGCGCATTTTGGTATATGTACCAAAATCCATAATGCTCATGAGCATCCTCATGTATATAGTACCAAAATTCGGCATCCTGATGAAAATGCTCATGGGGATATTACTGGATTTTTGCAGATGTATCAGCGTGCTCTTGAGATACCAAAATAAAATATACTCATAACTCATAAGCACGCTCATATTTGTACCAAAATCTAGTATGCTCATGACCACCCTCATACTAGATATACCAAAATCCAGTACCCTCGCAAAAATGCTAATCTAGAGTGATATGGTGATATTAGCTTTTGGATACGGTTCGCATAGCACTCCTTAGACTTGGATCAAGTCCGTCTCTCTAGAGTCCGAATCACTTTCCCGCGTTATTGCGTACCGCGCGCGTCCGGACTCTTGAGAGACGGACTTGATCCAAGTCTAAGCACGCCTTTGGATGCGTTCAATTTCGTCGGACAGGTAGTTGGGAAGACTTTGGTGGAACACCTGGCATGAGTATTTTAAAGTTGATCTAATAACATTACAATAGAATAGGACAAGATCCTGGTTAATCGTAGTCCCACCTATTAATGGTTAATTCTTGCTCCTTTAAGCTGTTTTAAGAGGTATAAGCGTTTCGAAGCTTTGGTGGTAATAACTTGTACGTCATCATTTCATTTAATGTCATTCCTTATCGACATCCCTAAAATTTTGGCCTAGTTGGGCGTAAGACGTAGGTGTTCTCTTAAAGAGGTTAGAATTTCTTTGCACTTGGAAGGTTTTAGTTCGAGGCGATTTTGATGGGACCAGATGTTAATGTGGTTGACGGCTTGCTGTAGTTGACTTGCTCTTGACGGTGGAATAAACTCTGAAATTGTTATGTCATCGGCAAATTTCCAAGTCAAATAGCGACTCTCCTGGTGGTTTGAGGTCGTTGATCATCACAAGGAATAACCAAGGGCCAAGTCGTGTACCTTGTGCGACTTCTGCAGGGACATTAAGCCAGTCCGAAGTAGCAGTTCCAATTTAACTTAACTCGTTGTTGTCTTTTCCGTGAAAATCGATAATCCAATTGACAGTGGTTGGCTTAACTCGTTAACGTATTTGGTGGTCGACCAGGTCAAACTCTTTCCGGAAGTCGAGAAGTGCGGTTCTTATGGTTGCCATGCACCAGTGGTATCAGTAGCGTGTAACCAATTATGCATGTAACATGGAAATAAGAGCAAATGTTGTTGAAGAGTGAGGTATGAAGCCATATTGGCAAGGATCAAGCTAGGGATGGTAATACGACAGGTTTAACAGCCTTCAGCAATCGACAGCGTTGGTATTAGAGATATCGGCTTTAGATCTTTATTATTGAATCGGAGATGGTAGATGCTTTAGGTCAAGGCGCGATATAAACGAGTTTTCATACGCGGGAGACTTTATTCTCTGAAAAGGAGGTGTTAAGGATGTCAGTAATAGGTTCTGCTAAGGTGTCCGCAAATTCTTTAAGGACCCAATTGGATAGATCATCAGGGCCACCAGCACGAGAGGTATTAACTGCCAGGAGTTTCTTTATCACAGCTTGTTCGGTTACGGTTATTGGCTCTCCATGCATCATCTATTGCCACTTGTACACTATCGGTCAAAGGCGAGTATAATCCTTTATTGCACTAAAACGCTTCATTGATGTTCTCGTCGCATATCAGGTCGGGGTGTAGGCGTGTCTTCAGGTCATTTCCAGTTCGCTTGGCAGTCCCACAGGCGCAGAGCTGTTTCACGTCTCTCCACCAATTGCAGTGTCGCGGTTCCGATCTCTTTAACTTTTTTCTCATAGTAAACTTTACGGCAACGTTTGCGCTCACGATTAACTTTATTCCTTAGGATCTTAAAAAGGACCTAATTTTTAGAAGAGAGACGGACAATAAGGGATTTCAATTGTTTTGTCATCCAAGCAGTCCTTCCACTGTGAAGGAAATTTCCTTTTCGAGGGAAATTTTGACAAAATGAAGGAAATGTAAAGGAAATGCAATTCTGAAGGAAATTTGAAGGAAATAACATTTATTACTTATATATATTTTATTATTATTATATTAATAACAAAAGTTATTACTAATAATAGTGTTTACAAATATTTTTTAAAAACATTAAGAAGTTATGAGTTATGACACCACCAACGCGTTTAATTATAGATTTTTATGCATAATTTATTCTGCATATAACTTCCTGTAGCCTGTGCGCGGGTTTCTCCCCTTTATTTTAGAGGGTGACATGGACGCGCGGTTTAGATATTCCGACAATATCTCTTCTGTATATACGTACAGATATGACATATCTTGCAAAGTTTGCAAAATTTGGAGGAAATTTTATTAGTTTGAAGGAAATTTCATTTTGTATGAAGGAAATTTTATTATTTTTTGAAAGGAAGTTTTGATTAAAAAAAGGAAATTAAGACTTTTCGAACTTTTCGATCATTCATCATTCTCGTGAACTTACATGCCATCTTACAGGCATGATGGTGTCCTATATCCATAGTTGACAATTTGTGTGAGGATTTGTAACTTTGTGTCACACGATTGGTTATGAGAGAACAGAGCCGACCAAGGCACATTAGTGGTATCGGGTTACATCGTGCGGCAACACTCTCTTAGGCTCACTGGTTTTTCGAAAATTTCTCGCTTTTAAATTATAGTTTTTGGATAAACTACATATAAAATTGTTTCTAACCATTTGGTGATTTCACTTGTTTAATTTTGGAGTTGTTTTGCAACGTATTTTTCGAGATATTCTGCGCGAAAGTTTGTGCATTGTAATAATGTCTCGCCGCACAAAGAACAGTATGTCTACGCTTTCAGAAGCTGATGTTGAAAGTCTTGTGGCGGAATTGCCCAGCACAGATGAAGATACAGAACAAGTTTGCCCAACAGAGATGTCTGACCATAAAAACGAGGACGAAAACCACAGAAGCGAGACTTGTGACGAAACAATCGAGCGAAAATTAAGCGAGCACGTCGTTGATGTTGCTGGTAAAGACGAAGCCGAAGTCAACAGGAAACATTCAACTTGCGCCTACAACCTCAGTACAAAACCAGTTTGAACTGCTCAATGATGAAAATTGTGAGAGCGGAATATCATCGCCTGAATTAGACTCAAACGAGCAAACGAACACGTACGTAAATAGCCAGATTCATGAATATAGATCAAAGGCACAATCGAAGTTTGAAAACCGAAAGAACCAAACTCATGCGCAGCAGAAGGAAAAGAAGAACCATGTCCATGCAAAGAAGACAGGTGTCCCAGGATTTTCGCCCCCCCCCCCTACATTTTCGCCCCCGGGGGCGAAATTCCTAGGAATATCCCCCCCCCCAGGGGGGCGAAAATCCCAGGAATTTCGCCCCCCTTTAGGAAATTCGCCCCCCTTTAAGGCCTGATTCCACGGGAGCTTTTTCTCGGCGAAATGCGAAATATTTCGCCTGTTTCTTTTGAATTGCGACCACTCGAATAAATTATTTCTACTTGATTGCCCACAATTCAAAAGAAACAGGCGAAATATTTCGCATTTCGCCGAGAAAAAGCGCCCGTGGAATCAGGCCTTTAGAAACTTCACCTTTTCTTTAGGATTTTCGTCCTCCGTTCAAAATTTCGCCCTTCCTAACAGTTGCATGGGAATGATGGGATAATTATTACATAGCTTTAATCATTTGAAATCAGTATCAATTCAAAATTGTTAAGACAGAGCTTGAAATAACAACCGATCACCGATCAATGATCGGCAAGGAATTGCTTATGATCGGCGGAAAAGTAGGGTTTCAGTTTCCAAAAAAACAGGGAAAGTCACGACTGCCGATCACCATGATCGGGAACTTTGGGAACGTTATTTCAAGCCCTACATGTAAGAATACAAATTTACAATTACATGTATCGAAAGGGCTTTACACAGTTACAGTAGATCAATACTCAATAGGACTTATGACGCTTCACAGCACACCATGCATATTTTGCAATTTGCATTTTCAGTGCTAACCTTAAACTCATTGTTAAAAAGTAATCACCGTGGTGGTTATTGTAATTATTGGTATTGTTTTGCATCCACGTTTTGTCGTTATCGGAAAATGTATGGTTTGTCACTATTTTTTACTTGCATTATTTCAATATAGTTTGTAAATCTCAGAAGCGAAGGGTAGAACTTGCCAATAGGCAATAATCCAATAATATACGTTTCAAAAAAGACAAGAAAGCTTTTAGTTTAGCAGAGTTACATTCTCAAATGTTTAAGAGGCTGTCTCCGTAAAAACCTCCAGGTCAATATGGGGCCCAAAAATAGATTTCTCTCATACTCTAGTATTTTCAAGATCTATCCTTGGGAACAACTAAAATCGATGTCATTTTACTCAAATTTCCTTTAAATTATTTTTGGGGGCGATTGATGTTCGATCGACTGGTAACCAACTTGATACTCCGAATGAAGGCCAAATATCGACATATTTTCAGCGCTATTTGTCAAATCAAATTCATACCTAAATTTCAAAATTTTTGCTCAGAAATATAGACTTATCCTTCTATTTTCGTCGGTGATACAACTTAGATCATTATTCTTTGGTATAAAATAGAAAACAGCGCAGTTATTGACCCTCCCGAACGGATAAAGGATATCGTCTCAAAATATGTCAACTTCGAAAGCTTATTTCAAAATCGTGGCACTTGATTGGCACATGACTTTAACTTTTCTATAAAATACTAACATTAGTCAACACAAATCGCCAATAATATCTTTCTGCTCTACCATTTGACAAAAATGACAAGCGCGCAAACTTTGTAAAATTTGAAAATGTGTCAAAATCGAGCATACTTTATTGGTAAACATAATTATTGATATTAACAGATAAAATCACCTTACACTACACTGAATGAAGCTTCATTATGTAAATACATGTCTTTCATCATTATTCTTTGGTTTGGCGCTTGAATCAAATTGTTTGAGTACAGTTTGGCTTCACGGATAGAGTCATTCAATGCCAGTGTGTCCAGTGTCTTCTGCGCGCCTCAATGCCACGAGTCCTGATTGTGACATACTATACAATCTTCGCTCTGTTCGCTTTGTTTACCTCTTTAACAAATACATGTTTAACAAATAACAATGTTCAATGAAATTGGAAAACTCAGAATTAGTCATACTACAGACAGAATTTTCATCGTTTTTAAACTGTTTTATAAAAGTTTCGTTAGAATGTACGAATTAAATCTCGGGGAAAACCCCGGGCAATGATGTCAAATGTCAATATTTCGTTAGTTTCGCTCAGTATAGT